TGTCTGTATTAACCCCTCTCTCTCAGTTTGTTTCTAATAGTGTGAACCGTATTACGAGCACCGTGACCCTGACTGTGACTTCCAAGATCCTACAGAGTGGTGTCACTTGTGAGGCGACTAACGTGCACGGAACCAACACCAAGATGCTCCGGGTCATGATTGGCAAAGGTCAGCACTCCGAACTGCTGGTCCCCTGTGGACCCTGTGTTAACGCAGGAGAGGTCTGGTGATTGTGACTGGGATCCTCCAAGCAGGTGGTGGACTGGTGAACAGCTGCCTCCAGTTTTTGGAAACCTGGATTGGGCCAGTGTATCTTCGGTGCGTCTGTGATGACACAGAAAAGTCAATGCTCGCTCTGCTGTGGTCCTCAGTGCTGTCAGTGAGAGCTGTGTCTCTCCTCCAGTCACTTTTTTCTTTTTCCTTTTGCAGACACTTCCACTGCGTCCCCTGCTCATCCCAGTGGAGGTAAAATCCTGTCTTTCTCAGTTCTTTCTTTTACCTGGTTTCCCATTAGTTCCTGTTGGCCTCATTTTTAGTGCGTCTTCTGTCCTGTCCCGTGGGATTCGTGTGTGTGTGTGTCTGAGTGTGTGTGTGTGTCTGAGTGTCCCTGTCCATCAGGGCTCTGTCCTCCGAGGCAGAGTGCTGTCCTCAGGGCGGAAGGAGTTGGGAGTGGTTTCTCTTCGTGGTTCACTGCTGTTAGCTCCTGGCCGGGGGTCCCTCTGGCTGTCCTGCGCTCAGGACAGGAGGGGAGGGGTCTTTCACTCTAGTCCGTCCGTCAGCCTGTTCCACCCGGACCCCCGCCTCCTGCTGTCCTCCTCGCCGATCCTTCCCAAAGAGTTATTCCCGAGGAAGTGGCGCAGGGATACTTCCCCTCTCCAGTGCGGAAGGGACTTCAGGGGAAACCCACTGATTCCGAATTGACTGAAAACAGTCCTCGGCCTCCGAGCGGGTCTCCGAGCTCACGAGAGCCTGCAGTCTGGCTCGGGCTCCGGGGTTGGAGAACGTGACTGGGATTTTCCAGCTGGGTGAGCGTTTCCGGAGGAATGGGATTATAGGATAAGATCGTTAAAGAAAACTCCACCGCAGTGGGGAAGGGAACAGGGGGGCGGATTTGTGTTTTTGTCCTACCCGCGCGGAGCAGTTGCCACAGGAGCCAGTTACAGTTGAAGAAAATGTGGAATTGCAGGACTGTCGCATGGCTGTGGTCTGTTGTGTAGTCCTGTCTGTGTCTGTACATTGTCTAGCGTTGTCAATCTGTTCTGTGCAGTCTTGCAGCGCTGTGCGGCGGTACAGTGCGCTGTGCTGTGTAGTTGTGTAACGACACAACGTTG